AAAAGTATTGACTATGTATGTGTTATATCCATCCATTTTCTGGAATACAATAACATCCATGCTTTTATATTGCTTACACTCAACAAACAGTAAATTTCAAATCTAAAAAGTATCGACTATGTATGTGTTATAACCATCCTTCACCAAGCAGAATTACAAATATCCTGATCCTGATGGGAAAAATGTAGCGATGACCTCTTTTTAAAATGTGTTGTAAGGACAAATAATACATTACTAAGTTATTGAACGTAGAGATACCAACTCAACAATAAAAGATAGAATTGAACTTACAAAATATGGAGTGTTATATTGTTGACCCAATGCATCACCTCCCTTAACCAATTCATCCAGGCGTTGCATGAATGAATGCAAGATTTCCTAGTCCTCCTTTCTAGGAAGTTGAGTTAACTGAGATGAAACTTATTACAAGTTTGAGTGATACTTGGCAATTTTCACTGCTGATGTTATATAGTTTCCAGTGGCAAAGTTACCTACAGAACTCATTTCTGCAAGCAAAATAGGCTTCTACAACGAGGCAGCCCCTATGAAGATTCAAAGATTAACACAAATAAGCTAGTGAACCTAAATAATATATAACCAAGACGAGCTCATAATATTTTTAAGAAAAATACATGGCCATGACAAATGATCTAAGTATACCATCAGCTTTAGGCCATCCACAACGCCAGGTTTTGAAATATTCTATCCATTATCGATGTCTGCCCAATCCAATATGTGAAAGATATATTTGTACAAAGCTCCAACAGCCGTAAATGAGAGAGAACGAAAAAATAAAAAAGTACCAAAACAAAATTTCATCATCAATATAAACAAAAAGGATAAAGCTAAATCTCACCCTTCGGCTGCACCAAAAGTGTAGTAAAACATAATTGAAATCAGAACGTAGATGTTAGTGAAAGGGTTTGAACCCTAATCTTGAGGTTAATTAAGCCATACATTCTGACAAAAAAAGTTGCTCTAGCTAATAATGAACATATGCTAAATGTCAAAGCTAATGTAACAAAAACAGATGCTAGTGGAAGGGCTTGAACCTTCGACCTTGTGGTTTAAAAGCCACACACTTTAACCAACTGAGCTACACCAGTTAATTCTGAACAACATTCTAAATGCAAATATTATAAAAATACATGACCTTGTTTTACTATAGCAATGAAAAACAATATATCTAAAAAAAAAAAAAACAAAGATTTTAGCTTTAGACTTATTTTGCTTAAAATAGACATGCAAGTTCCAAATAACTTATTGATGATATTCAAAGTTTTTCCCATTTTTTGATAAAATGATATATCTTTTCATGTTTGATCTTGATAATTTGTTTTATAAGATTAGATTCTCTCGATTACAATTTTTGTGTTTTTATTTCTCTGCTGAGTTCCCTCAATAAGTTCTTGTATCATAATAGATTTTTTGATTTGGCCTAATAAATATGAACATGCGAGTTAACTGTAAAGAGTGGCGTCTATAGATTTGGTGTTGTTCTAAAGGAAGTATTGTGTAAAAGTAAAGTACTTAATCAAGGGTAGCCAAATACCAAACTCATGACGCAGCACATTCAGAACCATTTTTATCATTGCAGCAGCTAAGGCCTTATTAAACTACTTTTATGAATGATCATCCCACAGTTATGAATGATCTTATTTCGCACTCAAGAAAAGTTATTTTTTAAGTCTATCTCACAGAGCACTTTTCAGAAATAGATGAGTTCAGAAATTGAACAATAATCAGAAAATGAATTGTGTAAGTAAAATTGTATGATGGATAAAAACTGGCAGAAATTTAA